AAATTTACCTTTCGACATGTATTTCTCTTGCTCTCCCCTCCTCCCTCGCGACTCCCTCACCTTCTGTCACTATAGCTGCTAGTTCTCCCTCTCCCTCTTCTCCTCCCACCCCGTCGCAGCTTGTTGCAAGTCCAGTAGCGGTACGGCGGCGCGATGCGAGGTGCAGATTTGATGGCATCGCTCGCCGATATGTTTTCGCCCCTCCCTCCCCTCCCCACTCTAGCGCTCGCTGGCCGGGGGCCCCACGCACTCCGCGGTTAGGCCGACGACGCACCAGTGTCGTGTCTAAAGATAGACTTGCGGCTTGCCCAGCTCGAGGCCCACCAGCCTGCCGGGCCCTGCCCTGCCCCTTCCCCGCCTCTCTATATCTCTCTCGTTCTACTCCCTTTTACTCTGAAAACAAATCCGCGCGCGCGGACAAGAAAAACAAACCCCTTCCTTTTACAGCTGCTATTTTTCTAACCGCGACCGCGATCCATCTTATGATTCTCGTATTATTGGAGGCAGCAGTTTGGTTTCGACGTTTTATTATAGTCTGCGGGCTGAAACACGAGACGCGATTCTTGGGCAGGGCAGAGGTGGTTGTGGGCTTCGTCCATCAGCGTGTGTATAATGACGCTCCTCTTGTACGGGCCCAGCATCGGGCAGGCCGGCCCGGCCCGGCGCTTGCCCCGCCCCGCCTTCGCCTAGTGACCGTGTAATAACAGTGTAGGGCGGATCCGAGTGGAAGAGGAACTGGATCGGGCGGACAGAACAGGACGGGGGCGGGGCGGGGCGGGCGACGAGCTGGACGCTTGCGGCTCGCAGCGCGCCAAACGATATCGCCCCTTCTGTTCCTCTTCCCTTCTCCTCCTCCCCCTCCTCCCGACGCGCGCTTCAAGCCTTCTTCTGTTTCATTTCACCCCCGCGCCACGGTGTTGGGTCTCACCACCTCCTGCTCGTCTCGCACTGTGACCCCCTCGAGTCGCAATGTCGTACAGTAATTGTTATTATACGCCCCCTGCGAATGAAAATAAACAACAACAACAACTCCAAACTTTTTAATCTCGTCATGTCTTTTATTGTGGCCGTATTGTTGTGTAATTCCGACCTGGTGGCGATGCGATGGGCGTGATAAGGTAACAAGGTGGGGACAGAGCTGGGCGCTTGGTTCGGTGCCACAGGAGAGGGGGGAGGGGGGAGAGATCAATAATTTCGTTCGTGATAGAAAACGACGCGGGGACGATAGATGGCCAGTCATGACGCGGTGAGGAGGGGGCGGCAGGCGGAGAGGGGGCACAACCAACCACGACGAGTGGGGAGGGGAGGTTGTTTGCTTTCCGGCAAAAATAGTGTACATGTTGTGTGTACACAGTTCTTTTCTCTTCTTATTTTAATATCTTCTTCTTTCGGAGAGCGAGGGAGAGAGAGAGTCGCCGCCCCCGGGGTCCGCCTCCGGGGGTTTTTGTGCCGCCACCTCACCTTCTTCACCTCCGGCCGGTGCCGCCTACGTTCGCCGCCGGCCGCGGGGCACTAGTACTCGCCGAGTGGTGCGGTGTTGCTGGTGTTTCTCCCTCTCTCTCTCCCTCTCTCTCTCCCTCTCTCTCGCTCTCTCGCTACGAAAGTAAAACTCGCCTGATTGGTGCGTGGGTGCGTGTGTGGGTGGCTGGCAGCGCGGCGGCCGCTGCGAGGCAGATCGTCGCGGGGGAAGGAGAGGGGGAGGGGTGACGGTAGCTGCGCTAGTGGCGGGAAAACCCCGCGCGGCCCGAGCAGCGGTGCGACGGTGGCGCCTGTGGCGCCCGCGCCTTTATGCGGAGGCTCTGCTGCTGTTACTGCTGCGCCTGGGGAGATGTTCGTTAGTTTTCGCTTCACCCGGTCGCCACTCTGGAACAGGGTGGAACAGCCTTCATGTGTGGAGCAGTGACGACCCAGGGGGGGTCGGGACTCATACCCTCGCCCGACGGGGCGCCCTGTTGGACGCCCTCCAA